TATATATATATATATATATATACTTAAGAATCACAAAATGTTAACCTCAAAATATTCTTTAAAATATGTGGAAAAGATCAATGAAATGGCATCGGCCAGGAATAAATCGCGCCGCCGCGCGAACGAATTAATCAGCGTAATGAGAAGCTAGAGGTATTAGTTGGAAATCAATTACGATCTTGTTCTTTCACCTCGGGAGGCCGTTGACACTGTAACAAATTAAATCGAGGCATCCCGTTTAAGGTCGTTCGCACGATCCTCGTTCATGGGAATTCGTTTCGCAATTCCTTCAGGTTTTACTCAGGTCTATCGATTTGTTCCGCGAAAACAATGAATCCTCGCGAACGTACGTTAAATTGCCCTCTAAGAACGTATTATTCTTGCAGCGTTGCTTCGAACCTTATAAATAATTGAATTCGCTAGAAGAAGCCTAAAAATTGTTCCGCAGTCGCGATCTCTGCGATCTCTGCAAGGCCTCATTCGTCAATTAATTAATCCATCTGCTATCGAAGGAACTACTTTGCAGATTTGAACAGAGCTAAATAATTCAATTGAATCATATTAGGAGAATATCAATAAAGCGACAAAGAAATATCACACTCTGAGAAACAGTAAAATTTTTAATATTATAATACATTGGTGTGGACCAATGATCGTGACTAAAACACCATAGAAATTTCAATCTTTTTTTTTCCATACAAACGAAACTATTTCACTAATTACACCGTGATTATACACGTTTTTTTTTCCTTCTCTTCGTTGAAAAAGTAATTAATTAATTTCGAAGAAATCGTGTAAAGGAACGTTTCACAGCTGTCATGTTTCACTTGCAGATGCGACTATAATCACGAGCGATGATGCCCTGCAAGGGTACGACCCCCAGTTCATGGTCGGCTGTTACTTCCCCGCGGAATTCCAGGGTGAATTCGTGACACAGGTGAGCGGAAACGAAGCCGCCGATACGAGCAACGAGCCCATTCAATATTCCACCATCAACATCACGTTCAACGCGATCCCCGTGTGGGGTTACTGTCACAGGAGGGTTGGTGATAACGTGTTGCTAATGGACAGGTAGGTTCCACCTTAATAATCATCCAGTTAATTTATTCCAACGACCGGAACGTCGCTACGATTTGCCCTTGTCCACCGATAACACTCCAACTGTTTAATCTGGACGCATTCGGCACACGTGAATTGTTTTGAGGAGAGAAGTTCGATTACATTGAAGAAATGAACACCAAATTGCGAAAAACTGAAGGAACGATATACAACAA